TTTTTAATAAACGTTTATTTAATAATAAAAATATCTCCGATTGTTTTTAGTTTATATGTAAATAAAACTGCAAAATGTCCTCGGTTAGAAAAATATTTTTCTTGCTCTCTGTGTGTTTGAAAATGACAGCTAATTAGTTTCAGCAACTTCCCATGGAACACCCTGTATGATTTATGCGACTTCTCGGCAAAAATCGCAAAGTAAAAACTGCTGCTGTTGCGATACATTTTATTTCCAATTAAATTTCCCTGGAGTGATTTACTTGTAACTCATTGGGATTTACATATCTTGACATTAATAAGTATGAATCATCATTAAATTTGAACTGACGATAACGTTTATTCAAACGGTTGGGGAAAAAATTACCGAGAAATATATCTGTATTCGGAAGCTGACATCACGTTTCTAAATAGTGCCAATTTGGCAAATATTTTAAGTTCCGGCTGGCCTCATTTCAGCTGATTATATTTATTACGCTTAATGTAAGGCTAAACTTGTGACCAAAGATTTCGGCAATCACTTTGTGGACGTAATTATTAGGCCGGGTTATCTCGCGGTAATTTATCTGCGTGAAAACCGCCATTCACTCGCGTTATCACAAAACATGCGAGATCAGTGTAAGCATAGAAAATACAATAATATTCGTGACAAAACGCGATTTGTCTCGTAGAGAGCGCCGTATAAAATTTCTTTATTTCACACAGTACACGCTATGATAACGTAAAATTATTTAACTATCGTTTTCTACGTTACAGAATGATTATACGGATAAAGCAGCAAGATTGAATCGTAGTACAATAATATAAAAATAACTAACAGTTAAAACTTTCTCATTTTTTGCGCGAGATGCACGGAGCGAAGATTATTCTACGGATTTTCAATAGAAAAATACAAAACTCTGATTATGAAATCTACTGTTCAGTTTATACATATTTATGTCTTAATTTCTGTCTTGACATTCAAGTTATTTATGTTTGTATTTTTCGAAGTCAAAAGACATCGACACACATTTTTTCGAATGTTATCGGACCAACCGTAAATGCCGTCAGACATCGAAATTGAATGAATCGACCGGCGAAACGCGATTGATGCGATCGAGAAAGCGAGATTGCGCGACATCAATTCATGATAATAATAATTATTCTTGTCCGGCGCACGCGCGATGGTCGCTGCGTTACGCAAGCATTTCGTAATTAGGATTTTGTAATATTGTTGTCTCCGACACACTCGCTTCTTATCGCGCGCCACGCCGCGCTGAGCAAAACAAGTGTCACAGTTTTTCCGCATCCCAGCGTAGTAATTAATTTATTTGCCTGTGTTGATATCGTGTCAGTCCAATTACGCGCGCTTATCATCGTTCGTACTATTAATGGGAAACACAGAAGAAATATTATTGCTCTCGGCCTGACTCCCCGCGGTTTGATCGCTTCGTTCGCGCGAAGTCGAAGCACGCATGCACAACTTTATGATGTATGACGCCGCTTATCGGTTACGCCGAGATAGCGATTTCTCTCGCTATCCGATATATATTATTGAACAATCACAAGTATTCCGATTAGACGGTTAATGTTTTTGACACGAAAGAAAGCGAGAAATTGCTGAGAAATTAATCCGACTTTTATTTAAAATATTAAATACTTTCACATATCAAGTTTCACGCTAAACTTGAAAGAAAGGCGTAACACCAACTATTTCCTTTACTATTTAACGCTAATATTAGTATTTTTCGAACTAAAGAATTCATTATAATAGTAAAGAAACAGGCTTATATAACCGCATAAACACATGGAGAAAAGAAAAACACAAGAAGAGTTAAAGTAGGAAAAACATACGATAAAATGGTCGAGATTATATTATCATCTTAAACAGATTATATTATCATCTTAAATAGATGATAATATAATCTCCACAACGGATCATGCGATTGAAATTATGGTTAAAATTGCGACTCTCGACAGATTTAGACGTGAATAATCTGACGGCAATAATGATTCGTAATTTGTGAAGTCCATTTTAAATAAATAGAATTCTGTCTAAACTGGATAAAAAAAATTTTGAAGCCAAGATTGATAATTTGTGCTTTAAGACAACTTTAAAAATAAAAGATTTTACTAAAATAGACCAAAAAAAAAAATACATTTATAACTAAACGTTGAAGCCGACGTAAATTATTGCGAGATGCATTACATTAGCAGCTGAACGATGGTCTTTAATAATCATTTTGTCGGTGGTGTAGTCGAAAGTTCACATCTCAAACAGATGATAATATAATTTCTACAGCGGACTTATCCGTACAATCGATATCTTATCCCCTTTGCCATTCAATAAATATTCGTCGATTAGTGGTATTAGTGAATATTTGTTGCTGTTGCGAATAATAATTTCGTCAATGATTTAAAACGTGATATTAACATAAGAATAATATGCAATTATAAAAAACAACGAAAAACAACGTCCTTTTTAAAAATAAATGTCAGTTCTGTCACAAATCATCAATCTTGGCTTTAAAAATCTTCTTATTTATTTTATAGACAGAATTTTACATTTAAAATAAATCTCATAAATTGCGAATACATTTTTTTATTGTTCCAAAGACTTCAATCGTTAATTAATCGTATGTATTCTGCGCCAAGTTCGTCGAACCTTTATATATCGTGGAAGTTCGTATATCGCTAGCAGCAGGATCGTCTATTTTGCAGACTTTCTGCAAAGCTGCGAGTTTAAAATGCCGGTCGGCGATCAGACAAGAGCTTCGTTTAGAGTTACTTACGGGGTCGGCCAGGCCCACGAGAGTCGAGCTGAGAGAAGATAGAGCATCCCCGGCAGGTAGAGAAGACGATTATCATAAATTTACCGCAATCGGCACGTATATGGGATGAGGCGTGCCACCCGGTAGAGAAATATACGCACAGAGTCGTCGTAAAACTAGTTTCTTCTGAAAAAAGCTCTCCAACCGCAGCCATATTAGTCCTCAACATTTCGCACATTTTTTTTCTGGAGATGTCTTCTTTTTTTGTAAATTATATTAGTGGATTTTGCAAAAAAGCAATGATCATTATTCACGCTATTAATTTAATAACTATTAATCATATTATTTTATTAATTATCATAATTACTAATCATTTTGTCCATTTTTTTCATAATTAAAAACTGATACTGCCGTATAGATAAATTATTTTGTTTTAAACATCTTATCTAGAATTTATACGCAAATATGCACATATTTAGAAATACAGTGTCTTTCGGTGAACATTATTTAATATTTTGAAATATTTTGCATCGATAACTCTCTGATTTACAGCGATTGTCTGTGAATAGCGTCGATCATGTAATAACGCGTGCTCAGAGCAGAGCTATGCGTGCAACATCGCCGTGAATATCTCCTATACTGGAAATTGTGCGAGATCTCGCGCGCCGATCGCGTTTCAACGCAATAAGAGCACCGGGACAGATCGCGATCCAGCCGATCGGAGGTTCAGTCACGTAGATGGGGCAGCCGCTTATCTAGCAATTAGTCGGTATCGGTAATTACTGTTGAGAAGAACGAGAGATCTTCCATACCCTTCGTTATTTCATAGCATACGCGTTGCATACCTCTGAATACACGCACGAATATATACGGATATACGCTTGTTTGCGCGTGATCGTGAAACCGTCTCGATAAATGAGTCTTTGATTATTTTCTCTAACCTATTTCACCTCAGTTCTCTGCCTGCCAACATCCTTAAAGGCTCTTAATAGCGCAAAGAGAATTTCCTCTTCGCCGAGTCTCCTGTATCGCCTCTCTACATTGACGGATATTGCCGCAACAGTTAATTGCGCCCGGCGTTTTTGTCGCGTCGTCACAGATTTTTAAAATCAATATCAGAAATTGAGCCTTGTAGAGTAAATTTTATTTTACGAACTAAGTGCGAGAGTGTGTGAAAACACATTCGTGAACCCCGTGCTTAGATTTTCTGATTTGCTAGCACATATTAAGCTAGCATTTAGTTTAGAATTAACGTTGAATATTATCGTAATTATTGCTTGCTTGTAATATTATTGTATTTGTATTGCGTAAAACATTATTGCGCTTATCAAGATTAATATATTAATTATAATTTTAAGACTGAGTTTTTTTTTTGCGACGTGATGAGAAACGATAGTCCCTCGGCACGGCCGTGTCGTTTGAGTTAGCGGCAATAAATCAAAAGTGTTTATCTTAAACTCTTACTTAGATCGCTTTGAAACTTCTTACAGAGAAATACTCAATAATGTTTCCCATATAAACGCCAGTTGCAGGGCAACAGCGATTCTTGTTTTTCCGGAGAACGTGTAATTTCAGTTAATTCATAGTTAATTCGCGTCCATTTCAAATCCCCGTCAGTCAATGACTAAATACCGCGGAGAACATTCCGCTATCGACGCCGGCGGGTATTAACGTTGCAATTACATCCGAGATCTCGCAGATAACGCGTAGCCTCTCATCCTTGAGAAGAGTCTAATCGTCGACGATGCGAAGACAATGCTATATTTATCGACGTGTCCAGTCGGCAGCGCGGATTGCAAATCCGTTTGAGATAACGTTAAATATCAGTTGGCAAAAACTTTCGTAAATGGAAGCCTCATCTATCATCCTAATGGCGATACGCAGCCGAAGGAAACGATCTTTCCTTCTTTGTACGAGAAAAATTTACTGTTTTTTTCCGCCGCACGATCGCCGCTTGTCGTCCCGCGCGTCGGCAAATCGCTCGCTTTTTCGCGCGGATCGTTATTCTGATTGCATTTCCATCCTTTCACTAGCACTAATTGCTACCGATCGCAAATTGCGTTCGACGAGTCTCCTCGTGCTCGCATTTGACGATTCGATTCGCGGGACACTTTAATGACTATCCCTCGTGGCAGCGAATGACCACCGCGATCACGACGGTTCTAATTGCCTATAATGAAGATGCACAGGACTCGGGGAGGATGCGATCGGGTGGTTGCACGCGGGTCTGCGTGTCGTATCCGCTGGATACCGCACTTAACGCTTATATGGAAAATTGATATTAGCGAGAGAGAAGTGCCACTCGGCGTGGCTATTCCCGAGATTGATCTCCGCGGCTTATTAAGTAGTCTGAAATTTTTTTTTCGCAAAGAAAGACGGGACTCCTGTGTGGTTAAAGATTGTAAACACGCGCGCGAAAATAGGAAAATCGCGTCCGTAATGAAGATCCCGTTCGCGGAAAGGATTGGCGCTAGCGTATCTGGATCTGTCATTATGGTTAACAGCGTTGTGCAATTTTGATCCGACGCGCATAATTGAAACGATATGAGGTATTAATACACCGAGAAAACGATAATTGAATGAACATGGCGGGAAATTTCAGGCGAACGTTTCATCTCGTAAAGCGTACTTTGTTAATGCTAAGCCGCAACTTGCTGGATGAGATACAATATTCGTAATTTGCGTTATATTGAATTACAAAATGTACAAAACGTATAAAGTGCCGCGGAATTATCGTCATTCTCTATTTTTCTGTACAGTCAAATCAATATATCATGAAATTTGTATGAATGTTAATTAAACATTTTTCAAAAATAGATCTATCTTTTACTGTGTATCTATTGTATTTATTTCCCATTTATCTGATGCCCATTCATCGGCATACCTTTTTGCTCTTTCTAAGGAAAATAATACAACTGACCTAGACATTATCTGACTGTTTCCTGACCAAAAAAGTTTCGAAAAATGGGAGTACAATGGCTACTCTTTATTAACATCGTCAAATTACCATTACTTTTAACTGTTGTTAGAAAGTGAGCATCATTTACAAAATGGTCCTATTCCTTTGTCAATTTTAGAGAAACCCTGTATGGATATTTTAGAAAGACCCTGTATAGATATTGATTTAAGGATCCTGGCCATCCTCTTTTGTTATCCTCGTAGCGTTTTCCTTTCAAAGAAAAGTCTACCGTCAGAAAACCTGTGTCGCTGTTATTCACACGAGCTACATTTTTCTGTGGCAACTTTTATCGATTATTTCGTCGCTGATTGGATCGTCGGCGTGCTAACTTGATCGATTTATCACATAATTGTAATGAGTTCTAGGTCGGAGATAAGAATATTCTAATCGATGCCATTTTTTAGTTGAGTTTCCACCTGTGTGCATTTAAATGTCTTCGTAATGGTAATCGCTCCGCGCGCCGACGCTCGTCGATTTTTCATGCGGGAAAGTATGCGATTATGAATGCGCAGGTGATCGAGCTATGCATTGCGTATCTCTCAATGAGAGTGCACGAATGCGTAAAATAAATCGGCGGGAGCAGGCGATAGTGATTGCATATTCTCCGCGACTATCAGCGTTCGCGATTTCACGTCGGCGTAATTCGAACTATTTCACCGAACTTTGAAGGATTTGACTTAAAGAATTTTTTGCGCAGCCGAAAATCATATACGGAAAACTATTCCGAGGTGACGTATGAGCTGTTCGGCGTTTATGCAACTCTTAAATTTTTTAAATCATAATTAATATATTTACAATTTCTACGATTGTGTAATACACAATTATACTTCACAAAAATCCGCAATCGCGCGACTAACACGTAATAACATTACACACTTACATAGATTCTTATTATAGGGATTAGGTGGGATTGCAACGAAGGTAGCGCTCTCTCTAAAGGAACAAATCTTTTACTCGTTTGTGAAACAGCGTCGGATCGTTTTCATTTACGACTATGCGGGCTTAATTGAACGCTATCACGAACGCAGACTAATGCAAGCGACAAGATAGTGTGCCTGAGTGTTAAATAATAACATATATCTGCGACTCTCTGTGATTTCTCGTGGACGTAAAAGCTGTTTCTGCTAACGATTCTTGACTAACGGTTCAGTTCTTCTCGCGGTAACGCGACGCGATTGTCAACAATCGGTCAGGCGTGTGAATTATGGCGTTAATTTTGTCTGCGCCTTTTGCGAATCCGCGTCTGTCGTGCGAGAAATCGCTGATATCCGGTATCGGGGTGAATTCAGGGCGAATTCGTCCGCATATGCTCCGCTGACGTGTAATTAAATAGTAATCATTCGTTCACCAACGCCGTTTGTGTGTTTATTGTGCATACGCGCGGAACCGACTGGTTTTGGATGACCAGCCAAGCGAAATTCTCTAATCTGTTCGCCGATTTAACTCTTTTTGAGCTGAGTTTATGTTCCCGTAAACTTTAAATTCCTACGGTTTATTTTTATATTTCTTGGAAACTTTTTTTAAACAAACAACGTTTACAAATTCAGATTATTTTTGCTTAGAAACAAAATCACATGCGGTACTAAATTTACATATTTTAGAACAACTTTAACAAATTCAAAATTTTTATAAATTATGTCAATCTGTTATTAATAACAAAAATAAAAATTGTGATGAATAGATTTCTATAAATTCAATAAAAATAATTTTTTGCTTTATTAGACCTACATCCTCACTAGCAAAATATGCGTATAAATTCAAGATAAATGTTTCCGTTTAGATCGTTAATATCCCTATTGCTCGCGCTATAATTATTAATTAGGCTGTGTAATTATTAATTAGACTGTGTGACAAATTTAAACTTTTGTTTTAGACCACAAACCAGACAAGATAATTCTTATAGATTTTTTGTCGTTGAAAACGAATCCGTTAATGAAATTACTCTATCACGTCACATTTTAGAGAAAATTGAACTTAAAGGTGCCGAAAATGGCATTTTTGGGTACTTTTGAGTTTCTTAAAAATGTGACGTGATAAGGTAATTTCATTAGTGGATTCGTTTTCAGCGATAGAAAATCTATAAGAATCACTAACTGTATTGACTGCTTTATGCAAGAAGTTAGTTATAAAAATTAAAAGAAAGGAGGACGGTAATGGTCCGCTTTTTATGTGATTTGAATAATCACCTGCACATAACGGTTTCTGGGGTCGGCGATTATGAAACCAAGGTCAAGATTGTCAAATATAATTTGTTTAAATAATCATAATTTAAACAAATTATATTTGTTTAAACAATTGTGAAAAATTATAATTAAAATCAAATTTTTCATAATTGTTTAACGAATCCGTTAATGAAATTGCCTTATCACGTCACATTTTAAAGATACTTAAGCTCAAAAATACCCAAAAATGCCATTTTTGGTACCTTTAGGTCCGATTTTTTCTGTGTGGTTTGTGGTTTAAAATTCGTGTCTCACACACACAGTGTTATAAGCGTTGATTCAGTGAACCGACGAAAAATATCGCTTAAATTGCAGAATTATATATAGATACATTATAATTTACGCCTGTTGCATCGACACCTAGGAAGTTATGAGCGCCATTTACATTTCAAATGGGTGCGCCTACGCGTTTTATGGCATGGGTTAGACGCAGGTTGTTGTCCACATTATCGTGCTGATATCTGCGTAATCGCGCGGCTCATATATCGGGCGAAGTGTTTTATGCAAGTACATGACAGTTTGCAAAACCTTCGTGAATATGGAGCTGCGCGCGACACGGGCTATTTCGATTGTGGCGCAATGTCTATGCAAATGTCATTCCCGGCGATTATCGTCTCTCTGTTTACGCGGTTACGCGATCGCAAAAATGGCGCGCAAGGATACGGCCGGAGTTATTTACGTTTTCGGCGTGTAATAGCTGTATTATGAGGCATCTTTATCGAAGATGATCGTATACACTATCTCTTGAATATTCCTGTTGTTGTAAAAAATGGCGGACATGAAAAACGAGCTACATCGGTTCTCATGCATAATTATTTAAAGTATATAAACTTAAATGTATATATTCCGCATTTTAAACTTTTAGATTTTGTTCTATATATATTTTAAATCTTTCTCTTTCAGTGAAATTTTAGATTTTGTACTGCCGTGTTCGAAGATTGTTATTGATTTCGTTGCGAAATCTGCACGCGCACGCGTTGGCGCTAATAATCACCATTAGCGAATTCGATTATGCTTTAAATAGTCGCTCTCGTAAAACCGGTCGCGCTCGTTTGCATCGAGGCAGATTTTACGACTACGACGTGCCAATCACCCTTTTGTCGCGAGGGAAATGAAATTTTCTCGTGTCGTTTCTATTCCGTTCGCAAATTACCGGTAGCGAAATCAAAGGGGACGGCGACGCCGACCTAATCGATCGCGAGCATTAAAATCATTAAACGGTGCGCGACCGGAAGGGTGACGTTTCGTAATTGCTGAGTCGAATATTTTATTAACTTACCTCTCGATTCCCGGGTGAGTTTATGGTCTCGCAGGATACTACGGTGAGGATACTTAAGCCTACTGCGATAAAGCCGCTTGATGACGGAACAGCGAAATATTATCTTGTCACGATATTAAGCGATCAGTCACCTGTACACAAGAATATTTGAGATGTATTAAATGTTTCACGCTTCACGTTATAATTGTGAGCTTGTGTTGTTCTAAGGCCTAATTAGCTGTATAAAAATACACGATACGAAGAAGCATTCCACTGCAGTCTCATAGCTCAAGGCTACCACAGGCTCGAATTAACTACTGGTTTAACTTTTAATTAACCTTCCGTCGTGTGAGATTAACTCTTCCTCCCGCGCGGTTCTCGATTCGCTGTATTTACGGTCGGTTGCTCTTTTAAATTACCTCGTAAAAAAGTTTGACGATGATTGCCGCTGAAATTACGATAGAAATAACAAAGTCGAGCAATCAGTAAAATGAAGTAATACCGCATTATAATTCCTCTATAATGCCGCAGTCTGACTTCTACTAGAAAAGAAAAAAAATTCTGAGAATCTAGAATGAATATTATATTTGGTACACTTTTTTAAATTTAGTCCCATAAATTTTCTTGAACTTGTTTTCGGTAATTAAGAGAGTTCAAGCGCGATAGTCTAAGCAAGGAATAAATTTGATCATGAGAGTCAGAAAAACAATTTTATCTGGGATTACGTTTCGATAATTTAGTTGATGATGAAATTAGTAATGTCAGAAATGAGACGCGAGTCACACGAAACTGTAGTAAGGAGATGATGTATACAGCGTACGTGTGCTCCGCGAAGCACATGTACGAGGTTCTCGTTGTGTGCGTCGTTCCCTCACTAGTTTCATGTGGCTCGCGTCTCATTTCTCAGCATTATTGAATAAAACTATACTACGCATCATTTTTGTAAACATGACAACGCTGACAAAGTTTATCAACTTTCGAGGCTTATATCTCGATAAATAGATAAAGTAAATAATTTTATACTTTTTTTTTTTATCTTAATTAGGTATTTTTCCATTATGTATTAGTTTTTTTTGACAAAAATCTTAAGAGCCAATCTTTAATTATATAAGACAATATCTCCGACGCACATGTTATGTTACATAAAAGTTAGATAATTTAAGGCAGTGTTATCACTGTGCTAAATTATCTAACTTTGACTCAATTATCTCAAATTCTAACAAGTCAATATAAATGAAAAATTTATAAATAGTTCAGTTTAATCTTAAATAACAAGTACTCTAAATTTCAACAATTTTGTAAAAAAATAAAGTATACGCTAGAACTCTTTTAAGAAGCACATTTCCCTCTTTTGGAAATTCAAGCTCTTCTTTTACGACAGATGTAATAACACAAATTATCGAAGACACGCTGGCGCATCCGCGTCCCCTTATTTGCATTTTCACCTGTTTCGTCGTGCGATCGCGTCGTTGGTTTCGCATGCGATCGTCGACGTCTCGTCGCACGCTTAGCGACAATTAAAAATGCATTAGTACGATCTGACGAGCGCGCGGGAGCGGCTTTCGCGATATCAGAGATAGAGATAGAGCGAATGAAGGAGTACACGGAGACAGAGTAAAGGCGAGAAAGAGAGAGGAAGAGAGAGAGAGAGAGAGAGACGGCCCGGGTGAAGCTCGGCTGGTCGCGCAGAGGAACGGGGGGGATATAATTTGATACGTTTACCATTTGGTCTTATTTTTGAGTAATTTCGAGTCGCTCTGGGCGTCTCAGCTGCGAAAGCCGCAGCACAAGCTTCCCGTAATTACAGGCCATTCGACTCGCTTCTTCGTCCTCTGCGCTATGTCGTCCTCGTCGTCGTCGTCGTGGTTTCTTCTTCTTCTTCTTCCTTTCTCGTTTCTTCTCTGCTCGGTTAAGGATGAATTAAACGTGCCGCTCTAGGCGATGTCTAGGAAGCTCCTGAGGAACCGCTAACGACGGAACCACGCGAGAGCGATCCACGACAAAGTATCCATCCTGCGATCTTGCAAGAGGATCGATAGAATCGCGAATCGATCTCTCTCATCCGTGTTTTCACAGATTATCGCTGCATATAAGATCCCGCGATCGTAATTTTCTACTCTTTGCTCGTTCCAGAATGTAAAAAATTGCAAATTTTGTTAAAAATAAAAATATATGTGTATAATTTAAATATCATAATCGAGATATGGCAATAGCTGTACTTCAAATACTGCGATAATAAGCGGTACATTTCGGTAATTTCCGTTCGCCATTGACTGCGAGATTATAAAAGCGCAGGTAACTATTTATCACGCGCGCGCATTATCTCGCACTTTTCTCGCATCGTTAAGCGTATGTACATATAATGCTAGCCGTCCAGCTAACTGATTAATTATTGGTGAAACGCGATTGTTACTTCATGGCTGCGGAACACAGTAGTGGTGCGCGACATATGTCGCGCATTCAAATTCGCGAGCCCAGTCGTCGTAATAAGAGCACAGTCGCAATAAGAGTCACCGCATTACTATTCATTACCCGCATAAATAGCGATTGCTTCACGCACGAGTGCGTTGCTAATGATCCTTTATTCCGTCGCTGTAATTAGTGCCGATCGTGTACCTGCAGAGAATCATCTGCTAGTGTAATTCGATGTAATTTATTTCGATGTAATTTACTTCAGATTCTTTGTTACGGAAAAAAAAAAAAAACAGAAAAACAAATTATTATAAATTGGTACTTTGCTAATAAAATCATTATTTTTAAATAGTTAATACAGTAGTATTATGTAAATAATTATAAAAATTATGCAATTATCATCAAATCGTGCATTCGTTTAAATTCCCTAAGAACTAGGGATTAACGTGGATCATGCAAATTATGCCGGATTACGTAGACCACGGAAGCGGTCACGTTTTCGCCACCTCGGCGCGGCGCTGATTAATGCGTCTATTCGCACGCGAGGCGCTTTGATCCCGTCAAGGATTCAACCTTCGTCGCGCGATTCCACAAGAATGCGCTCGCACGTGGATGTGTATCCTACTTAAGCAGCACACGCCTGCGCGCACGTACGCGACGTGCTCATTAAGGCGTTCGTTTCGCGATTCTTCTGTGAAAACGCAATTCTAAAGAATGACAATGGCAAATGAGCTGTCGAACAAATTGCCAATGACATAAATCAGCGGCAACAAAAATCGTGCACTTCCAGAGACGTACTGCTTAATTAATTTTGTTGAAAAATATTTTTTCTCCAAGAAAAAACGAAAGGAAAAATAGAATAAATTTATTGCGTTTTTGCAACTTCCTTTATTTCTGGAAATACAGAAGATGCAATTTGTGCGATGTTTACACCGCGACGGAAGGTCGTCTAATGATACGCCTATAAAGTCAGCCATGAAGATTATATGGCGGATACTTTCGCGATGTGAATAAGATTAGTGCTGTCAGTATCGAACGAGTGGTCTCCACTCGAGTATATCGGCATACCCGCCCATTACCCAAAGTCACGGGGGTATCGACATGGGTGTCGAGCATTAAACGAGATGATTTATCGCACGATCGCGATCGACTACCGATCGATGCGTTTGACCTACTTCTGGATCACTTTGTCAGCTCTAACGCTGCAGTCGTGAATTCCACGGCCGGCAAAAATATGGGAAACGTACAGATGGCCGGAGGATATAGCAGTCGCTAGACTGTTCAGCTATTAAGTTGTCAGCCAACTAGAGGATCCTAGCGGATGAATTTTTCGCAATGCAAATGATACGATTCATCGTTGCAACTGGTCGCGTGTACGTTATACCGGTTACTAGCTGTAACCTACTGAGCGTGACTTATTTAGATCACTTTGCGCGCTGACGCTGTAATTTAGAAACCGCAATGAATAATAACACGAATAAATACACGCGGATGCTAATTGATGTCGTTCGTGGAGATCGTTGCGTGAAAAAAAAGAACGGAAAGGTCTACATTTGTTGCGTTTACTTTGAATTGTGAAATCTTTAAACTATAAATATTCATATTAATTTCCATGTAACGTTGTCTGAAAACTGACAGATTTTCCGATTAATTTGGAGTCAATATACATATATATATATATATATATATATGTATATTAAATTCTTTGAATCCACACGAATGCTCTATCCATTTTCCGACTCCCTAACGTTCCGCTTCCATCCCCGCAATTTCTCCTCGACAATTCCATTGCTAGAAATCGGATTAACACACTGTATAACACACAGTGCGAGAGGTATAGTCACGCGTCGAAGGGAAACCGTGCGGGCGACGTGGCGATTTATCGTCCCGAGCTTTCCGCTAAAGCATCTCGGGTGACTTCCGGCAGACGTGGCTATCGGTCGATCGACATGGCTCTTTCGTGGTAGAATACTCAATTACCTGGCCCCGAGTTCCTGACTCTGTACACCTTCTCTCTCTCTGCGCCTCTCTCTCTCTCGAATAGGTGTTCTGTTTTTTTTCTTCCCCGGGCACGCACAGATCCCGCAGTTTTCGAACGAATTTGTGGCTCGCGCGAGTTTGCGTGCCGATTATTTATTTCCAAGCCGAGGACTACGCTACGGACACCAACCGGATGACACTGTAGCGTTTAGCAATTAATTAATAGTTAATAAATCGCGCGGCCTCCGCTCCCCCATCTTATGTCTCGCATATATATAAATAATATATTGCTTGTGCCAACCGACTGTCTGATTACGAGAAAACTTTATGCTCCTCGTGTAATTTAATTACAGCTTTAATTTGTCGGCGGTGAGTTACGCGTTTTTACCGTCGCCGATTCATATCGCTGATTCATTATTTAGATTCATTTTCTTTCCCTCTTAATGATATCTCATCAACTTCGTGGTAATTTTATCTCCTGTTTTTCCTTCCATATGTTTATTTCATTTTTTTAATTGAAAATTATTCCTTGATGACTTACATCATTTGTTATATTCACGTTGAGTTTTGTAATATTTATGAAATTAAATTAAATGAAGAAATTTTTGTAACAAAATCTAACACACTGAAAAATTTGAAGTTTTGTTTCAAACCTGTTCGTTTCAGGTCCTGATATACCTGGTTTTCTACTTCAACCCTTCAGAAAACCGAAGAGAATAAGGACTGCCTTCAGCCCGAGTCAACTATTGAAGCTAGAACACGCTTTCGAGAAAAATCATTATGTCGTCGGCGCGGAAAGGAAGCAATTGGCTCAAGCGTTGTCGTTGACGGAAACACAGGTGAGCACCGAAAAGGTATTAATGTTTTAAAACAATCTTAATCTTTTTCGTCTAAAGACAAATTAATTCCAACAATTAAATATAATTTTTAATCAAACACGATAATTCTGAACGCAGTTGGAACTGCTTCGACACTGCAATATCTTGATAAGCCCAATAATAATTACTATTCCGCGCAACGTGAAGATCTTCAAGTGACATCGGCTATCTTATTAATATCATTATATATTCAATAAGATTGAAAATTAATCAATAATTGATTAAGATTGATAATTAGATTAAGATTCTTATCTGACGCATACATGTTTTCTATTAACGAAAGTGGTACGCGGTGCAAACGCCACACTGAATTAATAAAGTGATGTGTCAGCGGCGAGTTGACATTAACATTCTCGCGCCGCGTTAAGCAGGATTGATACTTCTTACAAGGATCACGCGTGAGAAGCGAGATCGCGCATCGCTCGGTCGTGCGTTCGCGTGACGTTCGCGGCCGAACCTCATTGTTTTCTCTGTTCGTTTCGCAGCGATAATCGTCACCTTCACTCGCTACGCCGCTGCACTCTCGATTCATAAATAAAAAAGCAATTACCATATCGCGGCCGATGCAACACCGCCGGCAAGACATGCAAAACTGGTAAAAAATTGCTTTGTATACTCGGCGTATAAATTACGAGCCATGAGAGTGTGAATTGATTTTACACCGAAGTTGATTAATTGTAGTTTAATGGATCTCTCTAGAGCACAAGACCAGTGTAGACACCGGCAATACAGCGATTAGTGCTGCCTGACTTTGGAAGAATCGATTCTACATCGGATTATGCATGCGGAAGAAGCGGAGGGATTGACAATTACATTGATGACTTCATCCACAAGATTTGCTTACAAAGACCTGGCTCTATCGTGTGTCAACGGTATTAACGCAGCATTAGAATATATTCTAATATGGCAGATGTACAAATGCCGGACGCAACGGATTAATGCAAACCGTCGGCAATATTTATCGACGGTATCATTGATATTTATTATCATTGCATTAAGGATTACATTAATCTCACGTTAACGCCGCTGTGAAGATTCGCTCTACAGATTCTTTCTCTGCGCATTAAACAGTACTCTGCGATCCGCAACTGGAGTCTGAAAGACCCGCTTCGGAGCTCGTATGACAAATGGAGTCTCGTTAAAATTTCCAATCCAATTAGTTGGAATTCGCGTGTCAAATAGGGCTGCTTTAAAGCCCGCGGCTATCTGCAGCTAGGATACCAAGGCTCAAAACGAGGCTCGCGATCGAAGGTAACAATGGCTATGTGCTCGCGCGAACTTTAATGGCGCAAATCAAGAGCGCGAAAGAGAGCGCGAGCGAGCGAGAGAGAGAAAGAGATCGCGTCGGGGTTGTATAACGAGGGAATTGATATGCTAATCCGTGACCAGGGGTGGCCGTGTGTCCTTCGGTGGTGCTCGACGCACATACACGCACAGCAACGAAGACAAACGTAGAATCATACATGGCGCGCTCCAGATGCGCTGTATCGCGCGCTACGTTACGTATTCCATGGGCGTAACGCGCGCCAAAAAAGGGCGAGACAGCGAGGGGCGGTTGATAGTATATATTGGGAATTAAGTCGAGAAAGAGAGAGAAAGAGAAAACGGGGAAACATTGAGAGTAGACGCCATCTTGGGCCGCCGGGATGCTCCAAACAGGCTTCTCCTCTTCGTCCTCTCCTGCGCGTCCGCACTCTTCCTTGTTCGTCGCGCGTCGCGATTATCTCACGCAGAAAATACCAGCCGGACGACAATTTCTTTCGTTTCACTTGTGTTCCCGTGCGCTTTGTTGGCGCAGCGAAATTCGATCACGCGCAGACAGACGCGCGGCGGTGAAATTTTGTAAAACTCATATCCCCCCCCTTTACTTTATGAATTAAGAATTCGCATAAAATTTTCATTTCAATCTTAATTGGATAAAATTTTGATCTGCACAAAATTATAACGTCAGATTTTTCTCGGATAAATATTAAACTTGAACATATAATTGAAAATATTTACTTCCTTGTTCTTTAGACTGATGTCAAGGATGTAGAAGTTACCCTTTCACAGGTGCTAAATGCGAGTAAAATATTCATTATCCTTTTCCACAGTTAGAATCAATATGGATTGAAAAGAAAAGTTGAAGAAAAGAAAGTACTTATAATTTAGAGGAGGTATAGACAAATGACGTGACACATACGCTGCCGTAAAAAAAGCTCGTGGCCACTTGGTAATGCAAATCGCTTTTCGTTAAAGTTCGCGCATCGCGAATAACACGCCGAACTGCGCAGAAAATTCATTTAACTGACGTTTTACGTTGTCTTTTCATCAGAAATGAGGTCAGCTCGCGATCTACCCGCCAATTCATTAATTTTTATATCCATTATACGCGTATATTTATAACGAGAACAGGATGGCAAACAAGCAATTACGTAATTTTCCAACTTTGTTATTAAACAGCGCGCGAGAAGAAGTGTGATTACGAATACGGCGATAATGCGCAATCTCGTCAACGTTGTCGTTAAATATCGTTTCGCATGAGGAGGCCTGAGAATAAGCGGTTGGTGCTTTTTTTTCCTCTCCCGGCGGACCGTTTACTCCACCGTGGGCGTCGCGTTAACAAGGCGCGAGCGTCGGTCTGTCGACGGAATTCCACGCTTCCAGGCAAATGCACGCCTCCAGTTCGACAATCTCTCTCACCGCCGCTACACATATCTCTCCCACGTCACACCGGCGCGAGATTCGCTTGAATACATCGGGAAGCACGCTACGCGGCCCGGGGACTATTAACTGTACTTTATTACGTGCTGTCTTCATGGACCGCGTCGTCCCGCGCGACGACGTACATACGTTGTTAATAAGGCGCGAATATATACACGTGGAATTCCGATGATCGGTCCGACGAAGCCTCCTCTTCGCGTGACTCGCGCCTCCGCGGATTATCGGTCGGCGGAGTTTTCGCACGCGGCACGTACACGCTGTCGGCGGTGCTAAGCTGCCTTCACATTACGTACAAATAGCAACAGTCGCAGATTAAGGTGTTTATAAAACTTGGAACAAAATACTGTTAAAATTGAAAAGTCAAGACATTTCGAAAGCCGATTGATTGATTAGACGATTATGTTCAACAATACGCGTAAACGAACGAATGATTTACGAGGTTAATTAAACCTCGATAATTTTTAATTAGTCAAATTGAAGCCTCAAGACAATTATTGCGACATAGCATCCGACGTGATGCGTGCCGAGTATTAGGCGTCACTTTTTTAGCTATTCTCGGCTGAGATGCTTCGGAGAGCGAAACCGCGATGCGACGCGAAGTTCGCGCAATCGCGATTTGGCGACTCGTAATGTATTCCGGGTAATTGCCGGGATAATCGCATGCAATTAGAGGCTCTAATGAGGGCCACCGGGTCGCGTGTAACGCGCGTTCGCCTTATGAATCTTAACAAGCGCGAGAACAACCGGTGTGTGCGTGCGCGCGCGCTCGCGCGCTTGTGTGCGTGCACGCGAAAGCTGAAGGATATAATGTAACTGCTAATTACGCGCCTCTCGCGACGCTGATTGGCTTCCGCGGAGAAGGACGTACCTGAGGGATACAGCTAATGGTGTATCATCTTGATTTGCATAACCGCGGTCGTTCAGAGGACCATTCGAAATGAGAACGAGTTGATCGGTGCGAGAGCGAATTAGCTATCGAAGCAAAATTGATATTAATATTAATGCTATGCTTTTATCTGCATTGTGCCATTTTAATTATAATATTCATAATATTATAAAGACATGTATAGATATTTGTTTAAATCAAATACCATTTTTCTTTTATTCAAGCGAGATAAATCACACGTAAATCGGGTTGATTTACGTGCAAAATGAAGACGCGAAGACGCTGCTTTTACAATTGGACCAGACAGGCCGCGATTTGCACTTAAACAACGAGCGCAGTAGTGTTACGCAATACAACATGGAACAAGTCGAAGAAAGAAAACTGGAAAATAACATAACTCGAATACGGGCAGGTTTAGTCGGTGAACAATGGCGGATATAGCACATTGCTAGCAACGTAGGAAAGAATCGTATGAATTGATAAAGTTGAGAACACTCACAGATTCTATAAATCAAAATAAATAAGTGAGCTTTAAGAAGACTGCTAGGTGTTCATGTAAGTCTATCTTTATTTATTTTATAACGTCATGTGGTAAAAATAAATATTTTACAATTGCACAACCGATAAAATTAAAGACGGCATTGAAATATTGAAATTATAGAAGTTATTTCTACAATTTCAATATTCTATATAACTTTGATACTGAATAGGCATCAGTTGACCGAAATATTTGTTATTAATACATAGAAATAAAGGCAAATTTGCATGAATACCTGGCGGTGGTCTTAAAATTCAGTCTGTTATTTTGATTTGATAAAAGTTATTTCTTTTTTTTTTTCAATTTTTATTTCAACATTTTCCTCGCAATTGCATCTCGCAACAACATAGCCTTTAATTCCTATTTTATCTCTCTTTACATCCGCGAGAAAGCAATATATTGTTCTTCCTACAAGCTGCTGCACTCTTAAAAATTGAACCAAGGATTCCATTTATTAACAAACGCAATTATTGCCGTATAATACACGCAATTTTCGCCGGCTTTCTCCGTATTTGCAATAATGTCCGTGCGTGACGTTAATTGCCGTTTGCGAGAATTTATTAGAGAAAGCACGTCGTATTTCGCGGGAATTCGCCGATGACTCGTTATTAATTTATTGTCGATTACGCCGACGCCGTTATTACGGCGACGCTGGCGTTAATCATGCGCGCGGCCTATCGTCGGAATCGACTCCGCGGATTTATCATTTCCCTCGATGAAACGGTGATTAATTATCGCGATTGCCCCGTCGGTATGCGAACGGCGAGAAGAAGCGCGGGCACTATTTAAGACTCATCCGGATCATCAATCTCCCTATTAACTCGATAATTTTTT